GCCGCACCTGGGGGGCGGGAGCGAGCCGCAGGGACCCCGCTCCCCGCTGCCATTAGGGAGGCAGCCTGCACCGGGGTGCACGGGGTGGCGGAGGTGCCGCGCTGCTGCCTGGCCCCCAGTGGCAGTCGCGACTGGGGCGGCGGCGGCGGTAGCTGCCCCCCCCATCCTCCTCTCAGCTCTCCGGGCCTGTCTCCAGAGCCCACCTCAGCCTCGGCGGCTCCTTTCCCGCCCCGCCCCGCGCAAACGCCACCCGGGCTCACGGCAGCGGCGCTGCCAGGCGGCGAGGCAGGAGCTAGTGGGACTGAGTCAGAGCCAGGGGGAGGGGAGCGGCGGCGGAGAGGGGTGCGAGGGGAGGGAGGGAGAGCAATGAAATAAATAAATAAGCCCAGCACCAATGAGCGCGGCAGAGCCGGCGGCGGCCGGAGCGGGGCTGGCTCCTTCGCCTGCCTCTGCCTGAAGCCGCAAAGTTCAGACCCAAACGTGTTGCGCCGCCGCCTGCTGCCGCCACCTGCTCCAACGCCCAGAGGAAGGCGGGCGGGCGGGCGAGGAGCTGCAGCCGCGTCGCCTCCCGCCTGGCTTGCCTGGACCGGCCGGGAGACGGCAGGCAGGTAAGGCAGCCTCGCGTTTCCCTCTGCCCTGCTCATCCCAGCTGCTCCCTTCTCCAACTCGTTATCCCCCCACCCCTCAGCGCCGCTTCTGCTCCGGGGGGTGCCCGCCCGTGGGCTTCTTTGGGGGGCGACGTGACTGTGGCTTGGGCATCTCTTGAGAAGCCCTCGTCCTGCAAGAGTTGAGAGTGGCAGGCGGGTAAGTTTGGAGCCAGGGGAGGGGCTGGAGGGTTTGGGGTTTGTTTTAATGGTTTTCTGGAGGGAGCCTTGGCAGCAGCCACTTAATAATAATAATAATCGTAGGAAGCCCTCAGGTCAGAGCAACTGACCCCACTGCAGGCTCCCAGCCCCACAGGTCGGTGATTCTGTTCATGGGGAGGGAGGGTGGAAAGTCCCTGAGGTGACATGAAAGCAGCTGCTGTGTCTCTGTAGCTAGGCACGCGTTATTTTATTTTATTTTATTTTTCTGTTTAAAAAAAGGGGGGGGGGGGAGGAAGTTTTCTGCTGGGGTCAGGTCGCCTGCCCCTGTCCCCGGGCGGCTCGGCCCGTCCCGATCTGCGCCGAGTTCCTCCCAACTTGGGCAGGGTTTTGCCTGGAAGCCACCTGCTGAACGACTTGCTACTGCTGCAGCTGTGTGTTTGGAGGGGGTGAGTTAGGTGGAGAATTGTAGGGACCTCCAGCAGATGGAGCAGTGGAAAAAAGGCTGCTAGTGCTCGGCGTCAAAAAAAAAAAAAGAAAAAAAGAAAAATCATTCTTCTTTCTCGAGTCACAGTTGAGATAAGAGCTGGATAGAGCGTGTTGTCAGGGAACACTTCATTTCCTCATCGGGCTATAAAAGTGAACAGTTGCAGCTGAAAGAGATTTGACTTAATACTGTCTGGTTGGAGCGAGTGCTTGCCGAGAACACCAGGTTTGCGTGGGCTGGGAGGCATGGGGAGTTATTTCTGTCTTCCGATTACTTTCTGACCCCAGTTCTTGAGTGTGTGGGTTTTTTTTTTTCTCCCTGTTGTCATTGGGCTTTGGAAAGAGACCACAGTGCTCCTGTGAAAGTCCTTCTACTTTCTGGCATAATTAAAGGAGCACGTATGAAAACATTATTATTAAAAGCAGAGAAGAAGCAATCAGTGAAAGATGTTCCCAGTCCTCTGCAGCTAGCTGGAACAGACTGTACTAGTTGAATGGTTAATTACATTGAAATGGTCAGGCTTGCTTAAAATAGAGTGCTGGGAGCTAGCTGGTGATAGAATTTTTTTGGTAATTATGTCATATTGATGGTAAGGCTTACAAAGGGACTACAGTAATTGTGTTGCCAGCTTGGACAGCAGCACTGGGTGCATCCAGTTCACAGCTTTAGATCACTAGAAGGAAAAAACTGAAAGAGCTCCTAGCACTGTTGCTTAAACACCTAGATTTGCATGTTGCTAAGATAGAAGTAAAACAAGTGACAGGACTTTTCTTATCCAGGACAAAAAGCATTCTTCTGCTTTTAACAACTGTCTGGTGCCTGAATAGCAATGTTCAATTTCTTATAACTTTATTTTATTAAGCTTGAAATCAAGTTTTGAGTTGATTTATAAGTTACACTTTAGTGCAGAATATTAGAGGAATTGGAACTCAGATCACTCAGCGATGTTATTTTTTTAATTTTTCATCAATTAAAAAATTAATGTACACAATGCTATTGTATTAGTAAGCAACCAGTTTAAATACAGTCCTTGAAAGGACAATGGAAGAACCAATCAAGTTGTTTCGTGCTTCTTTTCTTAACCTCATTCTGTTTAAACTGTTAAGCATTTCTCTGTAATTTCTCAAATAACTTGAAAGTGTGTGAGAACTCATAAGCAGCTGTATCCAAAAAAAATTTAAGTTTGCCAAGCAATTTTGTATACTAAAGTTAATGAAGCAAGAATAATAGAACATATAGATGTGTGGATATAGATATAGGTTTGTGCTGCTGCTTTTTTCAAACGGGGGGAAAAAAAGGTGGTAGCAGTTTGCCACTAGCTCTGCTGACATCAGTGGTTAAAAGGACCTGAACTAGGACTGAGTAAGAAAGAGCAGACCTAATAATAATAATAATAATAAGCCATATTTGGAGGTTATTTGAATGATTACTTGCAGGAATAACCAGTTATTAAAAGTATTGGTTTCCTGAAGGAGTTAAATATGTCTCCTGAAACTTTGCAGGTAATTATGATAACCTTTTTAAAAAGAAAATTTCTTTTACTTGCTTCATTTTAATAGGGAATGTAAATTAGAAAATGTCCTATTGAAAATGGAATGCAAACACCTCCAGAGGTTATTAAAAGTATCTGCCTTGCTGAACAGCTAAAATTTAAGCATGCAGTCTTACAACTTTAAATACAATTATTTATAGTATAAAGATGAAGTTAAAAATACCCATCAAGAACCCAACACTAAAAGTGATGGGGATACCGCATATTTTCATTTTCTAAGCAAGACAGTGACTGAGAACACTGGACCTTCCAAGATCATACAAAAATTTTAACATCAGTCTGTAGTATTATTTTCAGGGTCAGTTCCTGAAATACTTGCTTAGAGCTCCTACTGGATTGCATTCATTACCAGCTCTTACCCATGTTCCTCATGTTACTCAGATACCTTCCTGTATCTTATTATTAAAATCAGTCATTGAACTACTATTTCTCTCTATATGCTTTGTCACATTTGTCTTACTAGTTAGTCATTTTCCCCCAATATTTGTTTATACAGTGCATATCTGTAAACTGTAGACCAAGCATTTTCAGTAGGACACCCATAAATTGAAAGAACTAAACGTTTAACGGTTGAAGTAATTTTTGTGTTTCTACAAAGCTCTATGTAACTTTCTAAAGAAAAATGCTGGTTTCTGTGAAGAAGAGATATGTTGGGTTCTATTCTGTTTTGAGCTGTCAACTAAATCAAAAAGTATGCCTTTTTACAGGAGTTGGTGAAAATGTAGCTGACTATGTTTACAAAATAGTTTATTGGTCTTCTAACATCAATTTTTTTGGAGTGCCTCCATTACAGGTGAAGGTTGCAGAAAGGTCCAGAGTTTAGAGAACCCAAAAAATGGGATTTCTAAGTAACTGCAAGCATTTAATTTGCAGGGTATATAAAATTTAAGCTGATTATTTTTTGGAGGTGGGGGGGAAGCTCTGTTCTATATAATGTGTTTCTTCATCAGATATCCTTTAGGTCCAACAATTTTAGTATTTGTACAGAGCAAACTTTACATGAGGATGAGCTGCACTTGAAGGTTTTCTCTAGTTAATTGGACACAAACAAATTTTTGTTTATTTTTAGTTATTTCTCTCTACTTTTCTACCAAGTTTCCCCCTCTTATTAATAAATACAACCACAAAAGACTTTCATACATCATTGCTCCCCGAGTTTTCCTGTATCAGCTACAAATGAAACCTGTGGCAGGATTCAAGCCAGGATTTTCTTTCAAGCCCAAATTATATATTTAAGAAAACAAAAAAGAAGGGGGATTGGGGAACTATCCAAGGCTCCTTTGCCATTATTTAATTAAAAAGCAGACTAGTAGTTGAAAAAGGAGAGTCTTAACTCTTAGCTTCCCCTTATCAAATGAAGTGGTGTTCTCCTACCAAATTGCCAGTAAGCTTATGGCAATTCCAACAGCAAAACATGACTAGAAGGAAGGCTTCTAAGGAATCAGAAAATGCAGTCCTGCTATTTAAAAAGAAATGATTCGTAAGTAATACTTGAACACTGCATCCATTCCGAGTTAGTTTATATTCTAAGCCAGAAAGCACATGCATCTAAAGAAACTTTAAAAATAGCAGAATCCTGTTAATGGCTTCCAAGTTCTTAGGGGAGATGCCGCAAATGTGCAAGCTGGAATTTGCTTATAAGAATCCATAGGTGTGAACATTTTAACTAATGATTTTTTGCAAGTGGAGGTCAATATCGGACACTTGTGCAGAAACCATTATCTAATACTTGTCACCTGTGACAATCTTTGGAAACTACATACTTCAGTGGATTCTGTTGCCTTTTCTCTGTTAAGCTGTCTTCAAAAATGAATAAATTAGTTTGGGGGATTTATGGAAATGCTTTAGTATTATTAGAATCTGTAAGTATTAAATACAACAACAATGTCATTTACAGATTGCTAAATAGTAGAGCAGTTTTGTTTGAAAGGCATGAGCTACCAGGCAAATTTAAATGTGGATAAAATTGCTGTGGTATATATACTTTAAACGTAAGCTTATATAAGAGTTGACACGCGGCTTCCCTAGAAATACATTTGTTGGTTTTAATTGCATTGCTGTTTCATTTAGACTGGTGAGTAAGCTAACTCTTATATTTGGACCTATTACTCTTTCAGACTGTTAATTCAGTAATTTATAATGATAGATACTTTAACACTAGCCTTTGTGACAGTATTTTGCTACACTGAGGCAATTGAGTTTTGTTGTACCTGCACATGTAATGAAAGGATGAGGTATATAATGAGAGGAGCATTTTCATTAAAATAAAAGTAATGTATTTTATTCAATCATACTTAGCAATAGAGAGATGTTTGTTTTATAGATTGGGTAAGAAGTGTAATTCAATATGTTCTATTTTGACTTAATCAATACATTTCCAGTCAGAATGAATTTGCAGAAATTCATTGACACTTATTTTATCTACTTAAGTATGGAAAGTATTTTAATTGCAGCAGGTAGATAGATCAGC